ACCTCGTTGATGCAATAATCGATTGGAACTGTGAATGTTGTTTATTTTAATAGGGGAGAGTGTAACGGGTTTACACATACCCTGGTAACAGGTGTGTGTGCTACACCAGATGGACATGATGTGACCACACCCAAACTAGAATACGGAACGGGGCTGGATAGCCAGTAGTTTATACATGTATTTGGATTTTACTATACATATTTAGGAAAATCTGTGCATTTTAAATTAGGCGGCTTTGCCGCAGATAAAAATAAACAGAGTCAGTATTGAATTTAGACCGAAGAGTTAATTAGCCTTGGGTAAAGGCTATAGTTACTCTTGGAGTAAGCGGATAGCGATCTGCTAAACTCGTACTTGTTCTGAGTATAGAACGAGAGGTCGGTGACTCAAAGCGCAAAGCTACGGCAGCCCCGCTGCATAGCTTACCATGTGTCACTTGCGAGCCAGCCACCATGCATCGCATATTCTTGTCTGTTGCGATCAGGCATTGCATTGCATCATCATAGGGTAGTGGTTTTGACCGTTGGATTAAGCAATTTGGCGTGTTATTGTGGTTTCGATTCCTGTGCAACAGTTTCCCGTGCACCTTTTGCATTGAGAGCTTTGACTCATAGATTCCGCGTAAATAAGTGCACAGAGGATGGTATTAAAGGTTGTCTCTAGGAGACGGCCTTTCTAGTGCCTGGTTGCTCTAAGTAAAGAGTGATGCATCACTAATAATCAAGTTCCATTAATAATACTGTCTGAATAAATAAGAGAATAGGAATGCTTTGATCTCATACCGACTATTTTTCCCGCTTATAATCAAGCTATAAAGAACAGGACGATATGACTACTGAGGGGATCCGTACCGCAAAATCCAATCGTTCAAAAAGCCAACCTGCAAAATTTTACCACCATGGGTAATACGCTGGGCACGAAAAAAACATTGAAGGAGCAGTTGCGCGAGAACAAGCGTGAGATAAATCGCGCCGTGCGGCAGCTGGATCGCGAGCGGTCCAATTTGCAGTTACAGGAGAAGAAGTTGATCATCGAGATTAAGAAAATGGCCAAGCAGGGCCAAATTGCAAGTGTCAAAATAATGGCAAAGGACCTGGTGCGCACGCGGCAACACATAACCAAATTTTATACTATGCGCTCCCAACTGCAAGCGGTATCACTTCGCCTGGAGACCGCTAAATCAGCTGAAGCAATGACCTCAGCGCTACAAGGCACGACGACAGCAATGAAGGCTATGGCTTCAACTATGAACTTGCCCCGACTCAACCAGATTATGATGGAGTACACAAAAGAAAGCGAGAAGATGGAAATGACACAGGAAATGATAGGTGACACCATTGATGACATTATGGACGCCGAACAGGACGAAGAGGAGGAAGATAAAATTGTCGGACAGGTTTTGGACGAAATAGGTATCGACATGACTGGAGCTGTGCCTGAGGCTCCGACTCCCCATGCTGCACCTGCTGAAGTAACACCACAAGTGTTGAAGGCCACAGCGCAAACTCCAGCTGCCCCTGTGGCAGCTGGAGGTGGCGAATCGACAGACACAGCCATCAGCGACCTCGAAGCGCGGCTCAACAATTTACGGCGGTCGTGAGAAGCGTAAGCACATGTTTTTAAACGACGCAACTATTTTGACTTGAGAGAGACCGGGTCGAAGAATATGTGGTTTGTGCTCACATATTTTGTCTTTCAGGCTAGTACGAGCAGATCCTCTGTAACGCTTTCATAAGTAAAACCAAAATCACATTATGTACGCAAATTAAATTTTTGCGGCGCAGTCAAGCAAAGCTACCAGCTGTACATTCTAGCCGATATCGGGGATGATAAGTAAACTCTTAGGAATAAGGCAATAGTGGAGCGCAAAATAGACGAAACGATGGCATAAATATGACTTGTCCTCGAATTCTCGAAATACCTCCGGATGATGGAAATAAGTGTGCGAAAAAATGCGGTACAAGCGGCGTGAGACTGACTGAAAGTACTGCGTGGCGTTCGAGCTGATACTTACACGTGAAGGGAACACACGGCTACTGGTGAGCAACGTGTTGACGTTGTCCATGGTATGAACAATATACTCGAAAGCGCAGCACTCTTTGGGCGCCTTATGGGCTGCACACAAGAACACCCAGTCGTCTGTAGCCTTCATCACGGGACACGAATCGCGCGTGCAACTTCCGTCTAGACGTGCCACTAGAACGTTAAGCTCTTTCATCACCTGACGTAAGTGCTCGTATTGCCAAAGGTACGTGTCCTTGTCATCGGGCACGTCGTAAATCAAAGAGAGCGCGGTTGGGTCCGCACGAATCTGACGCTGAATCTGCTGCTCTACCTCAAAAGCTCCACCAACATCAGCCCCACGACCATTCGCAGCATCCTCCCAACTAAAAAACTCGTCGTTGCGGCTGCCAGGAAGATTCTTTCCCACTACAAGCGTCGTCATATTTGCCGACTTGTATAAAACAAGTGTCCAAGTGTCGGTTGAACAAGTTGTTGGTGTAATTTACACGATCAGTCATCTTGTACATTATTTTTCAAATTCATATACTGGTATGTATTCAAACAATTCCCTTTTTAGACGTGTTTCTTGGCTCTCGACGAAAACCCCAGTTGTGTATCTACCGCCACTTGGGTACCATGGAGCGGCGGCAACGCGCGGACGACGAAGATTCATGGCGCCGTCGTAGTCGTAGCTATAGTCCCGTTTCCTCACGTTTGCGTTATCAGATACGCAGACGCCATTTGCGACCGCCCCCTGTGCCCAGAACTTCACACCGTCGTCGGCGCCGGACCACCAAGGGTTCTGACGTGAACAGTAAGCGCAGTCGCAGCCGCAGCCGTTCAAATCACGGCAGTCGGTCTTCGAGACGAAAAACAGGTGCAGCTATGTACAATAAATAACATACTAGCAGCAAATTACCTTTCTTCTGTGGCATTTCTAGATTCAATGGCACCGCGATCTCGATCTCGATCTAGGTCCCGAAGTAGATTTGGAAGCCGAAAACGGAAAAAATCATCCACTCGGTCTCACACCGCAACCAGCGACGGCCATCGATGTCGTCGTAATCGGTGCGTGTAGTGTCACTCTGCTAAAGTGACACGTCAAAATTGAACCAGTTAAAATTTTCTTTCGCAGACACAGTGGCCGAAAGCGTTCAAAACGCGGCGAAGGCCAGAAGCGCGGGCGGCGCAGCAGCACTGAGAAGAATCACAGTGATCGTCATCGCTCGTCGCGTGCCAAGAAAAAGCATCGGCACTCGCGGCGGCATGATTCGTATCACGACCGAGAACCGCTGCTGTCACCTCCGGTCACACAGCCGCATAAAGATGACAGTGAGGACAGTGTTGCTCATGACGACACGGTGGGAAGCTATAGTGGAAAACCTGGGGAGTATATAGCTAATCGGTACAAAATCATTCGCGAGGCGGGCTTGGGCACGTTCGGGCGCGTGCTCGAGTGCCTGGATAAGCAGCGTAACATCGTGGTGGCCATCAAGGTTGTTCGAAAGGTAGAGAAGTACACAGAGTCGGCCAAGATCGAAGCTGCGATCTTGCAAGATGTTAATGACAAGGACAAGAACAATCAGTCGCTATGTGTACGTATGTACAAGTGGTTTGAGTATAAGGGCCACGTTTGCATGGTATTCGAGCGACTTGGATGCTCTCTGTATGAGTATCTAAAGAATCATGACTACAAACCATTCCCGCTGCATTGCATCCGCGCGTATGCATGGCAACTTCTGACATCGCTCGAGTTCATTCACAGTATTCGACTCGTTCATACCGATCTCAAGCCCGAGAACATTCTGCTTGTGGATGATGAAGAAGAAAGAGCTTCGTGTGACTCATCTTCACCGTCATCAACATCGTCTTATGGATCACGAAATGGATCATCTGGGCGCGAGAATTGGTCGAATGGACGTCAGTGGAAGAAACGCGATCGTGGTTGTTCGGATGTTGACTCAGATCGATTGTCACTGCGCCCTCCAGCGAGTAACGCCGTAAAGCTCATTGATTTTGGTGGCGCTACGTATGAAGACGAGTCAAAGAGTTCTATTATTAATACTCGCCAATACCGCTCACCCGAGGTGATTCTCGGACTTGGCTGGAGTTATCCGTCGGATATTTGGTCAGCCGGTTGCATTATAGCTGAGCTCTACTTGGGTGAATTGCTGTTTGCTACTCATGAAAATATGGAGCATCTCGCTTTGATTGAGCGCTGTATCAACCCTCTTCCTGTGAAAATGGCAGCTCAGGCGTCTAAGAATTCGGCTTCAGCCAGTTTTTTTTACCGTGGGCGTCTGAACTGGCCTGCTGGCTCGTCGAGCGATGAAAGTGTTGACCACGTTCGAAGAATGCGATCGCTCGCAGACTTAATATCTCCTGAGGATGCTAAGAGTGGCTTGTTGGAGCTGTTGCAACTCATGCTGGTTTTGGATCCCGAAAAACGGGTGACAGCTAAGGAGGCTCTCAACACGCCATTTTTCGATGGCTTCTCGTATCGTCACGTTGTAAAAGGTGGCCATAGTGTTTGATCATGTGTTGATCACTGAACAACTATTAGCAGGTAGAGCCGTGAAGGGTCAAAATTTAGGCAGAAAAGATAAGTTGAGTTGAAGAGATAGGAATGCGTGATTCTTATGATAAAATCAGAAGAATATGCTTAGCACCTAGGTATGAAAAAATATTGCCCGAAATAATTAGCCGCAGTTAATTTAAAAGCACACGTTTATATCGTACCGTGTGCCCGCAATAGATTGGCAACGTTCAATAGATTGACAATATTCAAGAGATCAGCAGCACTGAAGAATTAGAATGCTTTTCACACCATGAAATAGAGACGATATTGGATAGTGAAATTTGAGTGTATGGACTTGGCAAGATGGTGACAACAGGGCATCAAAGCAATCAAGGACAAAATCACACACTTTTTATATAAAACTAGAGGACTTTATTTTTGCGGCCTTGTGCGGCTGGAGTAACACAAACGTTCAATAACAGTGTATGTATAATCAGCGTAACGGCACCGCTGGTATAATCTAATCAAAAGATGAGTCAGCACTTATCGACGTAGAGTCTACAGATTAGATACTGCAACGGGGTCATCTTATTCCTTGGACAACAGAAACTTTGGCTCAAAGAGCTCGCGACACAAAGAGCGCAGAGGATGGTCTCATACGCTTCACCTGGGAGCGGAGCCGAGAGCCTCTTTGAAAACTAGATACTTAGTGGTTTACAAAAATGTCATATCGTTGCAATAAATTTTATTTGAACTAATTTGAAATATATATGCTCTACTATATCCAAAAAGATCAACTTACTTTATTGGGCTACCTCTCCTGTCCCTGCATCTTTATCAATATCGATACTTTGGCGCAAATGTAAAATGCATTAAATTTACATTTTACAATTCTACACAATATTGTGTAGAATTGTAAGGTGTCCGTACACAATACTTCAACGCACCCGTCACAGAACTGCCAACACATGAACCACCTTCAAAAAAAGACATTACGTAACAGTAAAACCACCGAGCTTGGACCTTAGCACCACAGCATGCACTCTACAGTATCTGTGCAGCGGGGCTGCCGTAGCTCTTTCGCTTAGAGGAAGCTTGGACAAGGTCGGTGACCTTCGTTCTATACTTACGAGTGTAGTGGATCGCAATCCACTTACTCCAAGAGTAACTAGAGCCTTAACCCAAGGCTATTAACTCTAGCGTTTGAAACGAAATCTGTATTTCTCGGTTTTATTTAGACTACATTCTTCGGTTTTATTTAAACTGTTTTCTCGGTTTTATTTGTAAAATAGTTTGTAAATACAATTTGCGCTTTCAGCGAAAATTAAATTAGCCTTGGGTTGAGGTATTTTTAATTCTTGGAGTAAGTGGATTGCTATCCGCTACACTCGTACTAGTTATAACTATATAGCGAACGACGACAGCCTTAACTACGCTTCCTCTAAGCGAAAGAGCTACAGCAGCCCCGCTGCACTCGGTAGCACTTGTAGTCAATCTACACCTGAGAATTTACGACTAATCCTATGTGAGGATGGAGTAGTTCTCCTATTTGCCCCAGGGCATGCAGGACGGGCTTAAAAAGCTGATGTCTCTGCTTGGCTCTGTGGGCGTGCAGCACCTCGCTTCGCAAGAACCTGAAGCCATCAGCGCGCGCCTAGAGGCGTTTACAAGCTATGAAAATGCTCTGTTAGAGCACCTGCAGCAGAAGATATAGGCGCCGACCGCGTCCATGACGCCACTGTCGACAATGGATGCCTCCTTCCCGACCCAGCCGCTCATGGGTGAGTGTTAAGACATTCGGGGGCAAGCGAGATGGCCATGGCCTCAGCCATGCTCCAGACCGAGCAACAGCCCGTGGCTCCAAGCTCGGTGGCCAAGCTCGAGAAGGAGCACTGACGTGCGCTACTTCGGTTGAAGGGGTGTTTCCCTCATGGTCGGAGCTGAAGCTGCAGCTATTGTGTGTATTTTTGCCGCCTATCCAGGCATATCGCGTGCGATCGCGTTACCTTGCCGCCCTACAGGCCGAGAAGACAGTGGTGGATTTTGTCCGAGAGTTGCGTACTCTTATTGCCGGCATAGCATCCGATCCTCTTCCCGTGGCGGTCACATAGACCGTCTTTATGGATAGCTTCCGAACTGGCGTGGCCAGAATGGTAGTCTTCCATGTGCACCCGTCTTCTTTTGAAGAAGCGGTGAATGTGGCACTGAATGCCTAATTCAACTTCAGGTCGGCACAATTCGATTGGAATGCACACCCTCAGAGCTCGTCGAGCGGGCTTGAGCCAATGGACCTCAGCTATACTAAGAAAGTGGGGGGGGGCGGGGGAGAGCTCCGAGCTGCCGGGCAGCATCTAAAACCCGACGGTGTTTTGTCTGTGGAAAAACCCGTCACCTTTGGACTGGTTGTCCCCTGCACCAGGTGCGTCAAGGTTCATCACACCGACGTCGCGCTTCTCACCAGTCTGGTTTTTCTCGGGAAACGACTAAAACCAGTTGGCACGGGGCTCCTAACTGGGGAAGAACTGAGCTTTGTTCAGCATCAAAGAGGAAGAATGCAGCAAGGCCCAGCACCAAAAAGCTCCGTGCTCTTGAACACGGAACGTATAGCTTGCTGATAGTATATGCGACCGTAAAGGGCTTTGAGAAGCCATGAAAGATCCTTATCGATCTCGGAGCGTCGGGCAATTATGTTCGACACCCCACGATAGAAGAAAGTCAGCTTACAGCTGACTTCCTGAAAGCGCGGTCGAGTGACATTGTCCTTGTTCGCTTAGCGACGAAGACATGTGTCACAGTGCCGAAGGTCCCTGTGGACCTCGGTGTCAAGTTTTTGACTTGATAGCGTGGAACGCTGCTTAGTCTTAGACTTGGACTCAAGGTATGACCGCACCCTTGGTATGGCATGGTTGGAATACCATGAGCCATGAATCGACTGGTTGTCGAAGACGTTGGGCGCTACGCGCACGTCTCTTGGTGGGGTTTTGGAGAGTCATGAATTAACTCCTGCTTGAGGTAGATTCGCAATTGGCGCGGGCACTGAAGCGAGACGGTCAACGTGCTGGAGATCGGAGTATCCGAGTTGGTGAATACCGAAAGTGTATCGGACAGGAATCCCGAACATGGCTCGCGGGCTGAACGTGATGTGGCACGTAACTCACTTTGCGCTGTTCAAGTCTCGGATCAGTCGCTGTATACCATGCGTGGCATGGTTGGCCAAAGGCCGATGCATCAATGACAAGGCACCAGTGATTCACGTGGAGTGGCGCGTAATCCACCTGACACTGCTCACGTCTCGAAGCAATCTCTTCATGCCACGAGTGGCATAGTCAGACGAGGTCCAAGGCATCCTGGACAAGGAAGGCCCTTCAGATGCGCGTGGAGTTGACCTTGCCGCTCGGCATCTGCTTGCAGCAGTGCACAGCCGATGGCAAAGTCCAAAGCGCCACAGACGACACTAAAAGGACGACCGTGGCTGGCAACGTTAGTATTGGCGCATGAAGGAGGCTGTCTTTGACCCTGTCAAAAGCCTTCCGACGCTCGGTGTACCAACACCATTCGGCATCCTTCTTGAGGAGATTCGACAATGGCCGTGCCATTTCCGCATAATTGCGCTATAGTTGAGCAAGTAGTTGGCGAGGGCGAACCACTTGCGCAAGTCCTTTTGGCTCTTCGGAATCGGCCAGTCCACAATGGCCTTAACCTTAGCGAGATCCGCTCGAAGGACACGCTTCCCAATGAAACATTATATAGCTTATTCGTGACCATGCACTCGAGCACCCCTCTCAAATGTTCGATATGATCTTCCTCATCTGTCCTTCTGTGCCCCGCACGACTGTGAACGAAGATGTCGTCGAAGTATGTCTGTATATGCCTTCGAAGGGACCTCAACAACTGTGTCACAAGACAATTCAATGTTGCTGGTGCTTTTGACAATACTTGGGGCATCACCAGCCACTCTCAGAGCATGCCGCTCGGAGTACCCACCGCTGTCAACGAAATAGCAATCGCTCTCATGAGCAATTGGTAATACCCATCGACGACGTCGAGTGCAATGTACTTTGTACATCCAACCATGTTGATCAAGAAGAACATCCTTTCTAGGAGTCGGCGTCTGTGTCGGAATGGTGGCAGCGTTGACCGTATTGTAAACGTGAACGATACATCACTTGACGTTCGGCTTCCAGATACAAGACGTGGGTATCGAATGAGGAGACTTGATCTCACGCACCATTCCTGCGCCGTGCTTTGCACAGAAGAAGGCTTCAATGACCCCAAACTGCTCCTTGGGAAGGGGCCATTGGCGTGTCACGCAGTATTTAATCCCCGGAACAAGGTCGATCGAGGCACACCTTGCTCCGGAGGTAGGACCGACGGCGGATCTTTGGAGACGACGTCTATAAAATCCTTTACCAAAGAATAGTACGGATCCGAGGAATCCTTCAGAATCCACGATCCACTTTGTGCGTTTAGCACCCTCTTGGTACAGCTTCTTTCGACGAGATGATCTCCTCGTTCAATCTTATAATGACCACCTCGGCAAAATCACCTACCTTCAAGGCACCGCCGAACACTTTGAAGGACATCTCGTCCAGCTTAAGAAGAGCATCCACCGCGGGAATAGCCTCGAGGGTGATATCGCCGTCTTCCTCCCCGTCATACCGTCCACGAGAGTGTATAGCTGTGCGCTATCGTCTACGGTAGACTCTCCGCTGGGTCAGGGTCGACACCCAACGTTTTACAGGTAACATACGGTATCACCGTTCCATCCCTATAGAGATTTCACGCCTCGTCGAGACCAGTGGGAACACGCATTCAGCGTCGTCCAGTGTTCCCACTCCCTGCTCCATCGGAGCCTTGATGTTATTAACAACATTTGACGAAGAGCTGCTACATGTTACGTCTGACCCGAACATTGTATGTTTTTCCTCGTCGATTAGCAAATTACCTCGTGACACGCGACAACTCATACCTGGGGCTGACGCGAAAGCACATCGACCACTACATCATGCCCAGCCG